TCTTTTGATTGACAAGACTAGATGCTCAGAGATAGTGACCTGCCAAGGATTAGGATAGCCAATGAGAGACAGCAGTAGATTAGAAATCTTTTGAGTATTATTTCATAGCTTTTGGGCATTTTTTTCAAAATGGTAGGAGTTTGAGGTATTCATGTAGCAGAACCGAGCAGCACAAACTTGCATGATGCTCTTTGCAACACCAGAAGATGTGAAGCACTAAACACTAACCATTGAAATGAGCATTCAGTTTTTAGTTGAAGTATAAATTAAGTCTGAGACATTGTAGTAGCCAAGGCCAAATATATTCTTCTTAGGCTAGCTGATGTTGATGTAAATACAAAGAAAACTAAACCAATTCCCCAATGAATGGAGTCTGCTATTCTCTTCTGCAGCACTTATTTAGGCTAAAATATAATATTAAGGACATAATTTATCAAATTAAAAAACCTTCCAAATCAATCCCAGGCCTTCAATTCTGATTAAGAACCTGGAAAAGGTCACTAGTAGGCAAAAATTTTGCATCACTTGACATTTAATGTGAAATCACTTATCAAGTTAAAAATAATTATGTGCTACTACCAGTCATGTGTTACAAACCACAGAAAAATTCTTCCTGGAGGCGTGGGGAGAGCGAATGCTGTGCCTCACAGAGTCATGGTTCTCAGCCTTCCTAATGCTGTGACCCTTTAATGCAGTTCCTCTTGCTGTGGTGACCAAAAACATAAAATCACTTTTGTTGGCACTTCATAACTGCATTTTTGCCTCCTTTATGAATCCTAATATAAATGTTTTTGGAGATAGAGGTGTGCCAAAGGGTCATGACCCACAGGTTGAGAACCACTGGCATGGAACAAGTCAAAGAAAACCAACACAACTTACAGCTGCTGTTTGGAAATTAATACCCTTTTTACTGGTCCTCTGGAAGCACCTGTTATACGCTGGAATGATATTCTGCCTCTGTTGCCATGCAAAAATATTGTGTTGTGTTAGCCAAATTTTAATAAACAGCTTTAAATCCTTAGCTTAGTATTGCCAGGGAAAATGAATCATCTAAAATACTAACATGCATGTGGAAATAAATATACTAATTAGCACATATGGCTGATGAGACAAACTCGCAGTTGGTCTGTTCAATTAGAATTGGAAATATTAGGGGATGGGAGGATTATTTCATTAATAAAATGTTTCCCTTGCAAACATGTGGGCTTTGAGATTCCCAGAACCACTGTTTTGAAAAGCCAGGCATGGTGAAGACAGACAGATCTCCAGAACTTACCACCCAGCCAGCCTGGCTTACTAGGTGAGGTCCAGTGAGAACTCTTGTATTCAGCATTAAAATATAAACAAATAAATAGATGAATAAGACAAGCGGTATCTGAGGAAAGACACCTTGGATCTTTGTACACATCTGCACACACATGTATATGTGTGTGTTTAATGTGTATGGGTGTTTGTACATGTACAGAGTTGGACATAGTTCGTGCAGTTACAGTTGAAGCAAATATCTTGGAGCTAAGTCAATTATGTAGTTTCACTAGCTCTAGCTAATGTAAACTGTCATGGTGTTTTAACATTAGATATGTATTTTAGCAAGGACTGTGTGTCTGTCACTAGTTATCGGTGAATTTTTAGTGTTATCTTTGAGGAGACTACACAAAAGACCTAGAATAAATGGCACTGTGGGAAAGGAAAAGAGAGAAAGAACAAACTTCCGAAACCCACTGTAACTTAAATGTGAATAGCACTTGGTTCATGGTGACATCATTATTAGAAAGTCATAGCAATGGAATTCAGAAAGAACTGATCTAAATAAAATGGGTCAGGTTCAGGGACGAGTGTGAATATGGTGGTGAAGTAGAAATATTTTGGATGGAAATGTACTTTGACCCATTCCATGTTGTATTAATCCTTTATTATATGGTTACCATGGCCACATATTTTCCAAAAGTGAATAGTTGACTCACTTAGTTTTGGTGGATTCATTCCTGAAGGAAAGTAGCCCCTTACTACCTGATGACCACCCCTCACTGCTTATGTTTTAATATTTTTGTAAAATTTTAAACACCTATTTTTTTATGTGCTTCTTATGTATGGGTGTTTTCCCTGCATGTTTGTCTGTGTACCACGTGCATGCATGGTGCCCACAGAAGAGGGCATCAGAGACTGGAGTTTAGAGATGGTTGTGAGCCACCATGTAGATGCTAGAAGTTAAACCTGGGTCCTCTCGAAGAGCAGCCAGTACTTGTAACCACTCACCCATCTTTCCTGCCCTGTGTTTATTTTTTCAATCAATAGAATATTAAAATAACACTCTGGTTTTGATAAATCTCATTGCTATCTCCTTCCATTCAAGAGCTGTGGCATGATATTATTAAAAAAAAACATCACTTGTTAATTAAAACCTTCCTATGGCGGGGGAAACAGCAACCCAAGAAAAAGTGAGGGGACAGCTGTTGCTACCCCTGCTATGAAAGCAATTTGGAATTGTTTGAATACATGGCACAGTTTTGTTTTCCTTGGCTGTGTGGGTAAGTCTACTTTCTTCTGGATACTTTATTCAGGCATTGTATAATCAACAAATGAGGTCATTGTTCAATAGGCTCCAAAGACAGTGCCTAAATTAAGCTGATCTTATTTAATGTGTAAAATGACTTTGACACCCTTTTATATCTAGAATGTCTTAAAAAAAAACTACATCAGTATATTAGGGAAAGGCCTACTTTCCAGGAGAAGCCAGAGGAAGAGCAGTTATTAATTTTGCTGGAAGCAGAATTGTGCTTATATCCTAACACTGCACATTACAATGACTTGACATTGAGCAGGACATTTTAAATGCAGAAGATTGCAGAACAACACTTAACTGATATACTGAAAGTAAGGTAAAGCACGTTAGATATGTCTGAATTTAAAATTGCAAGAAGAGATGGAAGGAGAAGTCCTCAGCAGGACAGGCTAGGTCCGAGTCACATAGTGAGGTTTACCATTTAAACACTGGACGACAGTGATTTGAAACGAAGAAGTGAACGCACTTGGCTGCATACTCTCTTGTAGCCAGTTCTCCCTGGAGGATTTCATTCTCAGAGTGGCCTTAAAGCTTGGAAGCTCACTGATTCTAGACGCTGCTTCATGTTTTCGTCCTGTGTCTGCTTTTAGTGTGCTGTGTGCTGCACACATCCATCACAGAACACAGTTTCCCTTCCAAGCAAGGAACAGTAATTTCGGGAGAAATTTCTCACTGTTTAAGAGTCCTGCCAAACAATCTGCAAATGGGAAGGAGTTTGGTGACTGTGACCATTATTGGCAACTTCTGAAAGATTAGGTAATATGCAAGCAGTGATGAACAGCCAGTGTGCTGACTCCTGCATTTTACTAGGTCTGTTTCGGCATATGTGTTAATAATGGTGTGGCCTCTGTATGCAATTTCATGCTTATAACACTTTGGCCACTGGCAATGTTGTAGACTCCTGTTTCCTGTGCTGTTTATGGCCATTCAGATTCAGGTAACAGAAACATTTTAGATAAGAGCTAATTAGCCTGTATTCTGCAGATCAACTCCCTATAGCTCATCACTAAATAGGAACTGCCTGGGTAACTGCCGAAAGGATTTTGTTCTTGTTTTCCTAAGATTTAAAGTGCAAGATTCATCTTCATTTCTAACAGAGGAAAATGTTCGTATTCCCTGAATATTTCAGACACAGATTTTTATCAAACTTTCCATGTGTACAGTGCCCTACTCACTTCTGCCTTTATCTCTGCATATTAAAAGTTCAAAAAGGGAGATTTGAATGAGTGAGGGGAAAAGGGAGGGAGGGTGGGACTGGGGGAGTTGAGGGAGGGGACTTCAATCGGGATATAGAATGAATAAATTGTGAAGAAAAATTTAAAACAGAGGGGGAAAAAAGGAGATTTGAAATATCTTGTCAACCAAAGCACAGAGTGAAAATGATGCTGAAGTCCACATCTAGACTCTTCCTAGCTCAATGCCTATTTGAATTCCGAAACTTTCCTCAGTTTCTTGGTCTTTAAAATGGGATCATTTCATTCACCGGCTTCAGAAATACCCTGGACAAGATGACACGAGTTGGTATGACAAAAAGCAGTTACAAAAGGCAAAGCTGGTGCTGTTGTAAGGGCTTGTCTCCTTGAGTATTGCAGCGCCTCATGCTGCTTGTCAACACTTCAGTCCACAAATAGTTTCTTTGTGGAAAAGATATTTAAGTTTTCTCCAAACCCTTAAAAAAACTAAATCATTATCTGTTTATCCTTAAATGAGGAGAGCAGAAATGGGATCAACAAAGCAATCACGTGTCCAGCCTCTGAGCCCACATCACTGAAGAAAGGCAGGGACAAAGAAGCCACTGACAGGTCTTCCCACCTTCTTTCACGCTCTCAGCAATTCCAGTGGTTTCCAATACCGAGATTGCCAGCCGCTCTTCCTGACCCATGGTTTCTGTACTAGTTGTACTTTAAAATTTACTGAAAGTACGTCAGAGGGATGTGCGTTTCCTTACACCACAGAGCCCTGGCATACCTCTGGAAGAAGTCGAAAAGAGCAGCAACTGGTTTTTCTGTCACAGGCTTTCTGCCCAGGGTAGCTTAAGACAGTGGCGAGCCTGGGGCTCCACCCCCATTCTTCACCCAGCCTAGAACCCTCGATCACTGTCCATGGTTTTGAACCTCAACGTTCAGGTGTCTGGAATACATTACATTTCTCTCAGCTTGTCAAAACATGACACCCTGCTCCCCTCCCCCCAGCACATTATCCCTACTCTCTTCCCTCCATCCGCGACCTCCCTAACTTCGCGTTTCCATCCACTTTTTAATGTCTTCATCTATTTCGACTAAAGTCTTGCAACTTACCACCTTAGAACATAGTCCAAGCCTCAAACATCAAAGTTAAAAAGCCCCGTGCTTTGCCCACACTCTTCCTTCCCTCCCCACCCCCAGTCGGTCCCGACTCCCGGCAGCGCACATCACTCCACGCGCCAGACTCTCCTCACCTGACTCTCCCGCGGAAACTCGTGGCGCACTATGCTGAGCACTGGGATGTGCAGGACAGAGCTGACCAAGTCCAGCTCCATCATTTCGCCCTGGCTCTGGGGGAAGGCAAGCAGCGCCGAAACCCCTTGTACCACTACCGTGTGGCACACGCTCTGCAGAAAGGAGAAAGGGTCACTGCTCCATGGCGAGCTCGGGGAAGAGAAGGGCATAAGCGGTAGGTCTCCCAGGCCCGCCTCAATGGCCATCACTACTTCCAAAGACAGGTTGTAGGGTAGTAGCCCTTCCACACGGTTCAGGTTTTCCACGGCGAACAGGAGGGCATCCCGCGGCCACAGGGTCTCGGTCCCGGCGCTCTCCCCGAGCTTCCGGGAGCCAGGCGGACCCCGGCCATGCAAGGTGCTCCCCAACCAACGTGCGCCTTGTGAGGGTGCCGGTGGCCGCCACGTCCCCGACTCTGGCTCATCCCTCTGGGCACCCGCCCTGCCGCCGTCCTGAGCGCGGCTGGCTGAGCGTGGGGCAGTGGTCCAGGGCTGCAAGTGCACCGCGCCCACCCTCACCGCGTGTCCGATGCGCTTGAGGATCTGGCAGGGTTGCGGGTGCGAGGAGGAGCTGGGCACCCCGGCCAGCACCAGTGCGCAGGGCGGCGGCAGCAGCAGACAGACCCTGCTCAGCAGCCACCACAAACTCAGTCTCCTCATTACTGAGCCCCACAGGAAGAAAGCGCGCCCCCTCCTGCGCCCAGCTCGCCCCTCTGCAGCCGCCGCCGGAGGTCTCTACCGCCTGAGGTCTCTGCCTCCAAGTCCTGCGCGCAGCTTCCCTAGACGCGGTGAAGCGGTCGCAGGAGCTGGACCGGTCCCTGGGCATTCCAAGTTCCAGCCTAGCGGACTCAGGGCAGTGTCGGATGCGGTTCTTGGGCTCCTCTGCCTAGCATTCTCCGCAAGCGCGGCAGGCCGGCCGGCCAGCTCGGGTCACCCGCGGCTTGAGCTCCGGGTCCCTTCCCACCCCATCTGCAGGACTCCTGGGGCTCAGAGTCTGGCCCTGCGAGAAGCCGCTGGACTTGCAAGGGGGAGGCAGCGACGGAGGAGCTGTGCTCTCACTTGGCTGGCTTCTTTTTTTCTTGCTGTTCAGTTCAGGCGACACCCACTTATTTACTGGGGTGGCGGAGGAGAGGGCGTTTACGCCCGGGGTGTGGAAAAGCAGCAGCCGACCCCGGTTCTCTTCTCCGCCGGCCACCGTATCCCGGGCTCGCCAAGCGCCTGCTTCATTTTCCTTCTTCCTTCTCTACTTCCTCTCTTCCTTTCTCTGCCGGGCTTTTCGCCCAGACGCCACCTCCACGGCTTCCTCGGAGGAGCGACACAACTGGCCAGCCAAGGGTGGTTCTGCTCTGAGCGCCAAAGTTCTCCCCGCCTCAGTGGGCGCCTCCCAGCAGCTGAGCCCTGGCGCCAGCCTGTCGCTTGGCTGCGCTAAACGCCCACTGATGGTGAGATTCTTCTGCCGCACAGTCCCGCGCCCCTGCAAAATCCTCGCCCCTCAAACCTGAGACTCCTACTTGGCACAGTTCCCTGTGGCGCATGAGCACAAACTGAGCCTGGGAGAATTCTGAATTCCGAGTCGCTCCAGAAAGATCTGACAACCAATGGGTCACAGGGATAGGTTTAAAGACACTGTGACTTTAAGGAGCTTCCCTTGGCAATGCCACTCTAAAGGGTTTTATAGTCAAGGGTATTAAGGAAAGAGTTATTTACACATCTGATTTCCTCTTGTTTCTCTTTGGAAGAGGAACCTTTGCTTTGTTAAAGGTTTTTTATTTATTTATTTTCTCAGAATAAAAATAAAGTGGACTCGAAACAATTCAAGAAATTAAAGTCAGGCCAGGGAGATGGCTCAGGGTAAAGGCGCTTGTCATAAAGCTTGATAATTGGATTTCTATTCCCAGGTCCTGGCCGTACATGGTGGAAGTAGAGAACCGACTCCAGAGAGTTGTCCTCCGACTTGCATATGGGTGCCATGGCATGCTTCACCAACTCACACCCATCCTGGACATGAAGTAAATAAAATGTAATAAAAAATACTTTCAGATTCTGAAAAACATTCACCAGTTGTCCGTAGTATATACCAAGAAGAGTATACAGTTGTAGTGTCTTGTCTTGTGAGTTCTTCCAGCTATACAGCAACACAGAGGTCAATGAGCCTATTATCTTACCTTTCTCTTCACTGAATAATCTGACATCAGAAAACAATGAAGGGGTTATGGGAAGGCCTGTGGATGCCACACAAATAGAATTTTATTTTATGTTACAGGATCATTTGCAAGGAGGATGGGAGAGATGACTACGTGGCAAATAGCATTGGTGATCAGCAATTCTGAATCTAATACTTCCTCTGGAGAAGCATGACCTCGGCAATTTATTTGACCTGTCCTTGCTCCGTTGTTTGGATCTGCTAAATTATTATGCAAGTACATCAAGCTTTTAACTCCAAAAAAAAAAATAGTTTTGATTCTCGAGCTAAAGTTCTCCTCATGTTTTAAATTTGGGGATAATGAAACTCAAGATAAAAATAAAATAAAATTCTTGAGAAGCTTGCAAAGTGAAGACTGTTTCCCTCAGCACAAAGTAAGTTTTGCAAGATTGAGTTGCTACAGGAAAAAGGGCTCCTCTGACTGAGAGGTAAAAATCATAATAGGGGCTAAATTGGGAGAGAAAGCCCCTGCCCAGCCTTGAGGCCAGAGAAAAAACACAACTGGCAGCAAGCCCTTTAGTTGGACCCCGCTGCTTTAGCTATGAAGTATAGGGTAGAAAGTGTGGTGCCTGCCTGGCAGGCAGATGAGGGTCTCACCTGTGCAGTTAGGGGGTCTGTGCTGGAGTATGTGCACATGGAAGAGTATAAAGTACCGATGACTGTGGCTCAGAGCAGCAATCATTAGCACACAGCATTACATGTGTGTTTAGATAGGGTTCCTGAGAGAGCAGGTGTTGGTGGAGAGTAGCCTGGCCTGACTGTGAAGTGGGTGGAGGATTCATGTCAGGCATCGCGGCTACTCACAAGTTCACCATGACCTTGAGAGAATGGCTGACCTGGTTATTCCCAGGAGAGCAGGTGATCAGCACATTTCCAGAGTTCTGGACAGAGCCGTGGTGACAGCTTTTGAATACTGAATGAATGGAAAAAGAACTTTTGTGTTTCCATGACTTTCCTGGTCCTTTCAGCTATAAGACGTGTGTGTGTGTGTGTGTGTGTGTGTGTGTGTGTGTGTGTGTGTGCAGGTAGAGTTCACTGTCTGTTTTTGTGCTTCTAGCTTTCCTTTTGGAACAGACTTTCTCCCTGAGACTTGGAACTCAATGGTAAGGTTAGGCTGGATGCCCACTGAGATCCATGGGTATTCTCCTGTCTCTCTCTCCTAATGATGGTGTTAAAGGTGTCTGCTGTGCCTGATTTTTATTTTTTTTAAAGTAGATTCAGAAGATTGAGCTCAGGTCCTCAGGCTTCAATGAAAAGCACTTTAATGATGAGCTTTCTCCCCAGCCTCTGTGCCATTCTTTCTCTCTGTCTTCCTGTTGCCACGTGGTTCTCTTGTCACTGCAGAACATCTCTGACATTATTCTTCTCTCTTTTTCTTATCTCTCCTCTTTCCTTTCTTCTTCTTCCTCTCTATTTTTTTATACCCAAAAGATAATAATTTTCAAAACCCTTTCATGATTCAACAATCAGTCCGTAAAATCTACTGTGTACAGGCATGAACACGAGGCCATTGGGGAGGATTATGTGACTAAATCCCAGTTAGGATAAATGAATTCTTTTCTCCCTTCTCAGACTAAGATAGTTAATTTCTCAACAATGTGCTAAACACTAAGCTTATAAGCTAATGAGAGACAGACAACACAGCACACAAATACACATGGGATATGCTGGTTTGTACTCAGGAGAAAAAAAAAACAGAAGGAATAAAAGGAAAGTGTTAAGATGTGGCTGAGTTATGATTCTAGACAGGAAAGCCAGGGAACCCCCTCCCCCCCAAGAACATAGCTTTGGAATAAAGAGATAAAGGGAGGTGCGGGAGAGATGAGTGTGAAGATATGTAGCAAGGGTACCTTAGTGGAGAAAACAACAATTGAAAGGGTTATTAAACAGCAGTGCTTCTGGAGTATTTGAGTAAGAGTGAGGGGTCCAAAGTGCCAGAGCAAGATGACTCACAACAGCCATGGTAGGAGCTGGTGGAAGCAGAAAGGCTGAAGGAAGGTGGAGACAGCAGAAACCAACCATGAACTGTAGTGGGGTGAGAGGCATGATGGCAAAGGACTGAGCAAAAGAGTGTCAGGACTAATTTTTGTTTTGAGACAAGGTCTTCTGTAGCCCAGGCTGGCCTCAAATCAAGGCAATCCTCCTGCCTTACAGCCCATCTCCAGTGCTGGGGTTACAGTCATATGTCACGATGCTCATGAGGACTAATGTAAAAGGATCCCTCTAGGTGTTCTTTTAATGGTACACGGAAGGTAGGCAAAAATGGACACGAGGATCTCAGATATGAGCAGCTGCAACAATGCACCTGAGAGACAACGTCTTTGCTCATCTCATAGCCTTGTCTGGATAGGGTGATCATTCCCCTCCTAATCTACTGAGGAATGCTGGGTTATTGACAAAGTCTTCACACTGTGAGGGGCAGTGCAGCTTGGCAGCGGAGGCTCCTCCCAGCTGCGGCGTTGACAGCAAGTCAGATTCCACATTTGGCTCAGCCAGAGAAGACGGAACTTTGTTTATTTTCTAACTCAGAATGAGAACTACTGATCTAAGAACCCATGTTGAAAGTCAAATAAACAAAACAAATTCAAGTGCTCAATGTAAATGTGCTCTGTGCGCATCTGTGATTTCTGGTGCCAGCAATGGCTGTCGTGAAAGCTGCGACATTCTGGAAGTAGCCCAGGGAAGGTGCCAGTGAAGAATGCCGTGGAGATTCAGAGCTGGATCTTTCCTCTCCAGTATTTCTCCATAGAGATGACATTTGGCTTCCCAAAGCTGGAGTTCCCTCCTCTCTGCATTGGTTGTGGTGACAGCTCTTGACAGTTGTCTATAGAAACTGCAACATGCAAACTCCTGCAAGGCTCAGGTTCCATGGGAGTGGGCGGTCTATTGACACACTTATAACGGTGTGTAAAACCATTCTTTCCATATCCCTTATGCGCTGAAAACTTTCAAGGTATATTCACATCTAGTTTTGGTGGTGATGGCATTCTTTTAAATAAATGGCATCATATATAGCAGGCCCCCAATTATAGGTCTGCTTTTTATAAAATACTAATTTGTAGATTTTTGTTTTTAAATGGCGTAGGAGTAGCTGATTAATAGTGAGGAGTCTGGAATATCTGGAGCTGAATGACCCAAGGTGGTGAAGGTTAGGACAAGTCAGACAGAGAGATGAGGACATGGAAGATGGTGAAGTCCTTGGGGAACCTTAGTTTTTCTCCTGAATAGGTTGAGAAACAAGAGCAAAGGCTAGATTAGTGGAGAGGCAATTTTTTCACTGCATCATTAATGCTAAGGAATAGGAATCAAAGAAGAAATGCTGAGTTACTGATCAAGCCATCATATGGTGAGAGTGAGGGGCAGTATGGCTTCAGCAACCCAAGTCCATCCTGGCAGTATTATTGTTAACAAGAACAACCACAGCTTAATATCTGGATGAAAAACTGTGCCTATCTGTTGGTAATGTATAGCCCCTACTTTGCCTTCTTCCATATCAGCTTCTCCATAGACAATCATTATGCTTTATTTATGGGAATCTTTCAGAATGCGGTAGAGAATAAGATAATAGAATTTTAGTAGAGACTGGGTCTAAAAAAAGAAAAATCAGAGTACTTTAGAGAAACATACCCAAAGGGCTCATCACTCAAGATCCTAATTGTTCTTTTGTTTTTCAAGTTAGAAAAAAAAAAACAAACCTGTATAATACCTTGTACCATTAGTATCTTATACCATTGTCCTAATCTTGACATCAATCATTCTTACTTAGAATGCAAGTATTTGTCTCTGGCATGAACTGATTGGCCTGCTTTTTGATCACCTCCCCCTGAGGGGGCGCAGCCTTACCAGGCCACAGAGGAAGACAATGCAACCACTTTTGATGAGAACTAATGGACTAAGATAAGAGGGAAGAGGAGGAGGACCTCCCATATCAGTGGACTTGGGGAGGGACATGGTTGGAGAAGGGGGAGAGAGGGAGAGGTTGGGAGGGGAGGAGGGAGGGAGCTACAGGGGGGATACAAAGTGAATAAAGCATAATTAATAAAAACTAAAAAATATAAAAATAAATTAAAAATGCAAGTAATTTTCTTGATTTTTGGGGCTATCAGCATACCATACATTAACATAAACAATTATTATAAACTTAACATCTTACTAAGAAGGTGGTGATGCAAAAGGGCTGAGAAAGAAATTAGAGAAACAACACCCTTCACAATAGCCACAAATGACATAAAGTACCTTGGCGTAACCCTAACCAAGCAAGTCAAAGACTTGTATGAAAAAATTTCAAGTCTCTGAAGAAACAATTAGAAGAAGATGTCAGAAGATGGAAAGCTGTCCCATGCTCATGACTTAGCAGCATTAAGATAGTAAAAATGGCCATCTTACCAAAAGCAATCTACAGATTTAATGCAATTCCCATAAAATTACCAACACAATTCTTTACAGACCTGGAAAGAAAAATTCTCACCTTCATATGCAATAACAAGAATCTCCGAATTGCTAAAACAATCATTTTCAATAAAAGATCTTCTGGAGGTATCTCCATGCCTGATCTCAAACTGTGCTCTAGAGCAACAGTAATAAAAACTTCATGGTACTGGCATAGAAACAGAATGGTAGACCAATGGAACTGAACAGAGGGCCCAGAAATAAACCCACACACTTATGGACACCTGATTTTTGACAAAGATGCCAAAACCATACAATGGAAAAAAGACAGCATCTTCAACAAATGGTGCTGGCCTAACAGGATATCTACATGTAGAAAAATGCAAATAGATCCATACTTATCACCCTGCACAAAACTAAAGTCCAAGTGGATCAAAGACCTCAAAATAAAACCAGACACATTAAATCGGCTAGAAAAAAAAAAAAGTGGGGAACACCCTAGAACTCATTGGCACAGGAGACAACTTCCTGAACAGAACACCAACAGCACATGCTCTAAGATCAACAATCAATAAATGGGGCTTCATGAAACTGAAAAGCTTCTGTAAAGCAAAGGACACCGTCATCAAAACAAAACGACTGCCTACAGATTGGGAAAGAATCTTCACTAACCCTTTATCTGACAGAGGGCTAATATCCAGCATATACAAAGAACTAAAGAAGCTGAAAAGCAACAAACCAAGTAATCCAATTAAAAAATGGGGAACAGAGCTAAACAGAGAATTCTCTGTAGAGGAATATCAAATGGCAGAGAAACACTTAAAGAAATGCTCAACCTCATTAGCCATTAGGGAAATGCAAATCAAAACAACCCTAAGATTTCA